ATGGGACTCTGGGAAAGCACAGGTCACATGACTGTGAAATCTGATAAGTAGGACTTAGCAATGTTGTTCACTTGGTGACATTCGTAAGTGTGAAAAGACAAAAAACAAATAAGTAAATGGGGGGGACATCTGTAAGACATGTATGTGACAAAGAACTCCATCAAAATGTCAGACTGTTCATGAAGGGAAATGGGCACCTCACACAAAATGGCACCAGGACAGCCAACAATATCAAGCAAAGGTACCGAATGACATCAGTAATCGGCAAAACTAAACACTCACGCCGCCACTGAGTTACATCAGTAACCAGAAAAACTAAACACATGCAGCCACTGCACAACAGAATTAACAGGCTGTCAGTACCACGGTCCATCAAATCCACCCGATCCGTCTTTCCAGTACCACGGTCCGTCAAATCCACCCGATCCGTCTTTCCAGTACCACGGTCCATCAAATCCACCCGATCCGTCTTTCTCCTGCTACAGCATTTCTCACTTTCTCATACGCGAAGAATCTGCTTCTTGATTCCTGGTGAGCAGGAGGCACAAGGGACCAAGGGAAGTGACTGTGGAGTCTCTGAAGCTCTGGGAGAATAAATCCGTTCACTCACACGGGGTGGCTGGCTGGAGGACAAGATGGTAAGCAGTGACCGTCATTGGCAAAGACTCTGTCCTGGCACCTGGGTGACCGTCATTGGCAAAGACTCTGTCCAGGCACCTGGATCGGGTTAGCTGTATCTGTTGCATGTCCCTGAATTTTTAATTATGTCTGCCAATCTGCCTAGACATTTAAATCCATTCTAGCTGTGTTTCTGTAAGCTGTGAAAGAAAACTGGTCACTATTACAACGCTGTGACAAAACAAAATGATAGAATGAAAAACAGTGTCTAGAGCCAGTGAGGTGGCTCCAAGGATAAAGGCTCTTACCTCCAAGTCTACACACCCCAGTTCAGTCCCCTAGTCCCACACCGTAGAGGGAGAGAATCAACTCCCAAAGGTCGGCCTCTGACCTTCACACACAGGCACGCATGTGTGCACAACACACACACTTGTATGCATTCACACCTGCACACATGCATGCCTGCACACATGCACACCTGTACACACACATGCATGCCTGCACACATGTACACCTGCACACATGTACACCTGCACACATGCATACCTACATACCTGCACACATGCACACCTACATATATGCACACATGCATACCTACATATCTGCACCCATGTACACATATACACAAAGGACACTCACCTCATTGACAGGGCACCTGTACCCTGCAGACATTTCTAAGAAACAATAAGACTCAGGATACCAGAGTAGATTGGTTACTAAAACAAAGCTGCCAGCTGGCTGAGAAGCCTGTATATGTTGGCTTTGATACGGCCACATACATTCATATTCTGCTCATGTTTCTTCTTACCACAACTTTAAAGTTACATCTGTGACTTAATACTTGATAATAAGCCTTCCACCAGCTCAACCAGCCTAACATTTACCAGGTACAAGATTATAAAGTCATGTGACGCTAAGAACATGGCTTCTGCTTTCAGGAAAAGGAGATTAAGCACAACAGGTAAATATCTCAACAACCATCCTTAGATAAATGTGGGGAAAATATCTCCTCTGCCAGACAAGCAGTGCTCCTGCACCACTGGTTTTGCAGGTCTTATTTGCTTGTTTGGAATTTTGAGAAGGTTTTGAAATATTTTTATGAGGCAGGGTCTTACTACACATGCAGCCTGACCTCAAACTCTTGGTCCTCCTGACCCAACATTCCTTCGATTCCTCTCATTGTCTTAAAGCCTTTAAGTGGGGTTTCCTGCACGCCAAACTACGTTTGTGTGATCCAATCGTTTAGCCAAGGTAACTGTTTCCTTCCTGTGCAGACAGTACTAAAGCAGCGCATGCCATAAACCAGGAATTGTTTAGTTTTCTGATCATTACAGAACTCAGCAATGGTGCAACAAGATCGCAGAACTGGGGGGGGGGCGGACAGAGAGCTCGTGCTTTACAGTGGAAAACACAGAGTTTTGAGACTGCTATCTTCCAGTTCTTTCCTAATCACTCAGTAACACAACTTTTGGCAGATAGTTAAACTCACTGAATCTCAGTGTTCTAACACCACATGCCCAAAGGAGTTGCCATGAGAGAGAAAGGCAATAGCTGAGCATAAGGCACACATACACTCAATAAATGATCACAGCTGTGCTGCTATTTTTAATTAGTATTAAAATGGTTATTAAAAATAGATATTCTTGCCAGGCGGTGGTGGTGCACACCTTTAATCCCAGCACTTGGGAGGCAGAGGCAGTGGATCTCTGTGAGCTCAAGACCAGCCTGGTCTACAAGAGCGAGTTCCAGGACAGCCTCCAAAAACCACAGAAAACCCTGTCTCGAAAAATAAAAAATAAGTAGATATTCTTAGGTGATACAGACCAAAAACACATTCTTCTATATGACAAACACTGATCCTGACCCTCTTTCCTGTTTGATTTTTTTTTTTGAGATAGCATCTGGCGGTGTAACCCAGGCTTATCCCATAATCTTGATCCTCCTGCTTCAGCCTCCCGAGAGCTAAGCCAGCACACTTGGCAGACCATGCTTTTCTTATGCCCACCTCAGTTCTAAAGTGAAGAGACACTGCCTGTGGTGGTGTGAATGAGAATGGCCCTCATGGTCTCGTATATTTGGATGTTTGGTTCCCAGTGGGTGGAATGGTTAAGAAGGAATAAAAGGCATGGCCAGGCCCTGTCTCTCTGTCTCTCTCTCTCTTTGTTTCTCTCTCTCTGACCATCTCTGTGTGTCTCTCTCTGTCTGTCTCTGTTTCTCTCCTCTCTCTCTGTCTCTCTCTTTCTCCTGCTTGTGGACCAAAAGTAAGCTCTCAGCTACTGCGGCAGCGCCGTGTCGTGCCTGCCAGCCTCCAATGTGCCCCACCATGATGGCCATGGACCAAGCCCCTGAAACTGTAAGCAAAGCCCCCAGTGAGATGCTTTCTTTTATGTGGTGGTCAAGGTGTCTCTTCACAGCAGTAGGACAGTAGCTGAGACACTGCCATAAGACGTTTGTAAGAAACTGTAAAGAATAAGCAGCTACATGTTTTCACCTGGGTTCTGGGGGTGGATCCAGATCACCAACTCCTCATACAAGCACTCTTACCCACTAAGCCATCTCCCCAGTCCAAACTTTTGCATTTAATAAAACAAGTCAGCACGTTGTACCTGAATATGCCATTGCCAGCCACTACTAAAGTGAGAACAGTTGTTCTGAACGGCAGTGGAATCCCAGTTCTTAAGAACTCAAGTGTGTTTGCTGTTGGTTGACTGTGCAGAAAGAGTGTGAGGTACCGGAAGTAGGCAATGCGTATAAAGCCTGTAACTCTAAAGCGTCCGTATTAGCAGAAATGAACTGAGCTTGCTGGGGAAGGCTCTGGACAGCCCGCATTCTCTAGAAAAGTTCTGGCTAGACTTGAAGAGACATATTTTTAAAACACAGAGGGAGAATGCAGCCACAGACTCACAAGATGAGTTGGATTCCAGAGGGCACATTTGTCTAACAGACACAAAATGTCAATCCTTCAATCAGTTAAACACATCTTAAGTCTACCATCCTGTCAGTCTCCAGGAAGCACAAATAGAGTCCAGCAAGCCCCGCCCCCTCTCGTCTGCCCCACCTTCCCTGTCTTCCCAACATGTCAGAGCGCCATGCTTTTGCCAGCTTGTGCTTTTAACTTCTTGCAGAGAAGCTAATAATTAAGTAGACAGACACAAAGTTGAACGAAAAAGATCAAAACCTGACTCTCATATTAGACTGGGGAAATCATTTTTACATAATGCATGTGAATGAGTCAGAATCCATGAAAAGTTACAACATATAATGCATGCCAACTCTATGTAGACATGCATGCATGCAGATCCATGCACACACACCCTTCATCACCCTCCTCTAGCTCTTCAGATAAGAGCCCCATTAGAGGAAAATCCCTCTACTCAACTGCATTCCTCTTGGCATGGACCCTCGCGATAGCCCTGTGGTCTACAGACAGCACTCTGCTTTATATGCGTTAGAAGAAACCTCTCAGTCAAGACCGTAAATAATCTGAGGATAGCAAGCATCAATATATTGAAGAGAGGCAGAAAACACACCATCAAATGGGATTTTTACACTCCTCGTTCGATTATTGAAAACTAATTAAGTCCTGGAATTCCTTTCATGAAAACAGACACATCTTAATTTTGAAATTAAAACAAGGCAATAAAAACAACTTGGACCTGTTTCCATATAAAAACATGCAGAGGAAAGTAAAAAGAAAAAGTCACTCTGACATGCACCCAAGAAACTGCCCCCGCAGTTTTATGGAAACAACCCTTGTGCCTGTGTTTGCCATACCTGGGCCCCACTCAGTCACGCTGCGTGTCAACAAAGAAGGCAAAACAGAAACAGGGACAGATTAGCAGAATAAAACACAGTGCGCCTGTGTGGAGAATTGCAAAATTAATTCAAAAGTTTTAACACCTAACAATGAAGATGGATCAGTTACTGAGCATTTTTTTTAACTCAGTTAAGAAGCTAGGCAGCGCTTAGCTAAAAGCAGGCAATGCAAGACACCGGTTTCAACCGGTTCATTTGCCCAAACACTTTGCCCTTCTTGGATTTCAGAGCAGGCTGTGAGCGGCTCCCATTGGCTAGGCCAATTGTTTAATATCCTCACTAGAGCACAGAGATTAAGGGAACAAGAGCACGACTTTAAGTTACATCTATCCGATGCTTTGTTGGTAACCATTGTCAGAGTGAAGCGTGACCTCAAATTGTGAATAATAAAACTAGGATTTAATATTAGACATAGAGCATTTGTTTTAAATTTAAAAAACAACAGGAAGCTGTATTGTTGGTTCTGTTCCTGAACTTCTCAAAATATTACCAGCAGTGCCTGCTGCAGTTTCGCTACCAGCCAAAGTGGCAAAGGACGGACCAACATCCCGCACCCCCAGACTTACTTCTCTTCTGCGACACAGCCTGCAAGCAGGCTGTCACGATGTCACAATTCTTCTGAACTTTATGCAGAAGCCTATCTTTCTGCTTCAGCTGCCGGAGTAACCTCGCCGACTGGATGCCAATCCTGTACTTTAGCTCTCGAAGGATTGTCTTCAGCTCACTATAGTCTATCAAGAAAGAGAGAATACACCTCGTGAGAGGGATATAAACCCTCAGTGTGCTACTAGCCAAAAGGTGCATATCTAGGAAACGAATTTAAATACACTAATTCCCCAGGGCAGTGGTGGAACGTGCCTTTAGTCCCAGCACTCGGGAGGCAGAGGCAGGCAGATCTCTGTGAGTTCGAGACCAGCCTGGTCTACAGAGTGAGTTCCAGGACAGCCTCCAAAGCTACACAGAAAACCATGTCTCAAGAAACAAAAACAAACAAACAAACACTAATTCTATTTTTCGCCCAGGATATCATGTACATCTTCGGCTAAGACATTCCAATCTAGTGAATCACCCATTCATTCCCTGGTTTACTCCGAAGACAAATTCTACACGATAAATGGTATCCTTGATGCTACATGCAACACATAAGACTCCTACTTTTACCATAACCAGCTCCAGGTGCCCATTTACCTCTCAATGCTTAAAACTTAGCACTTATTGAGCCTGATGGTGCAGGCCTAAAACACCACCAGCTCAAGAGACTGAAACAGGAGGATCACAAGTTCAAAGCCAGACAGTATAACTAAGTAAGAACCAGTCTCAAGAGCTTAAGTGCTGGGGGGACAGTTAAACTCACCACGCCCAGCACCTATATAAAAATTCAGTCATGGTGGCACACTGCCCTCTGACCTCTGTGTGCACACATACACACACATATGCACACACATATACACACAAAATAAATAAAAAGGTAAAAGAGAGCCCTCAATGGTAGAGAGGCCTTTCCTAACTTGTGCAAGGTCCTGGTTGCTCAAACCCCAAGACCACAAAAATAGAAAACCAGCTAAAAACAACTTTATCAATTGTCAGTTGAAAGCAAATAATGTCAGCACATTTTGTAATGTAGATGAATGTGATTGTGCTAGTTTTGTTTAAGTGTTTGGTCTTCTAGTAGCCCACTCAATAAATTTCATCTTAGATCCTCGGCAGTTTTCCATACATGGCAGAAAATGTATTTCCTCTAAACGGACCAAGTAATTCTGCATTCTTGGGCTCGAGAGATGGCTCAGCAGTTAAGTCACTGGCTGACCCCTCCAAAGGACCAGGTTCCAATCCTAGCATGCAGCCTGGCTAGTAACCACCTGTACCTCCCGTCCCAGGGGATCTGATACCACCTTGGCAGGCACTGCGCACACATAGTGCACAGACATGTAGGCAAAACACCCACGCACATGAAATAAATCTTAAAAAGTTAAAAGAACTAAAAACCGTAATAATAATTAATAGCGATAGCAATTCTGCATTCTTAAAACTAATGTTCACAACGATGTGAGATAACGCAAAAACCCTATCTAATTTTTGATATTTGTTTTGTTTTATTTTCAAGGCAGAGTTTCTCTGTGTAGCTTTGGAGCCAATCCTGGAACTCTCTCTGTAGATTAGGCTGGCCTTGAACTCACAGAGATCCTCCTGTCTCTGACTCCAAGTGCCCCACCACGGTCCAGCCTATTTTTGGTGTTCCTTAGGGCACCTATTTCTCTGTATTATGCACTATTTATGGGAACATGTTCACAGCCCCAGGAAGAAATGTCTTCCATAGTAATAAACATACCACAGGCAAAATCAGCCTCCGTGTCAACTCCCTGTTTCTCACTAAGTCACAGGGGAAATGATCAGCTGGAAAACTGACCAACTTCCTCTCTACGGAATTTTGTCCTTATGTGATAAATGGGTTTGCAATAATGAAAATTACTACTTCTAACATTCCCTGAACACTTAACACACATTAACTTGGGTAAATAAGCTGTACAGCTAGCTAGAAATAGTGACAGCAAGCCCAACCAGGGAATTTGAGTGATTGGTAGAGCAGCTGGTCACATGGTGCATGTGACATCCACTTGCAAGCTGTGGAACTCTCCTGCAAACTTGGTTGGGCTGCCTGGTTTCCCTCAACCAAAAGGAGATTAGCAGTTCCCAGAGTTTCCTGGTCGTTCGACAGGAACAGACCTCTCAAACAAGGAAATGCAAATCATAATTTTCAAAACTGATTCTGTTGGGAGTCTGAACTACTGCCCTGTAGCAAGAGTTTGGGCACAAACACAACTCTTAGCACAGTTGCATAGTTATATCAAATAAAAGGGTCCAACTCCATCCAAAGTACCAAAGTCAGCTGGAGAGAAGAAAAAAATAACTTCACTAGGAAGCTGGAAAAGCGGAAAAGGAAGCAGAGAACTGTTTGCACAGGTAGGAGAAAGCAGACAGATTTATTGTTTTTTCTGGGGTTTGGGTTTTTTTTTCTTTTTCTTTTCTGGAACCAGCTAAACCGGATACAGCAAGTACACGAGCTTGTATAATTCTCTTTATCCCTCCCAGGGTCATTTAGCACAAGGACGATACTTGCAAGAAATGTGATGGTGGCTTCTGTTCCCCACGCCTTACTACACCTTGTAAATTGAGGTTTCCCTAGGTCTATGCAAAAAGGTAACTAGTCCTGATTCCTGAAATGTAAGCTGTCGTTATTGAGGACTAATAATAACCTTCTCGGCCATAACGTAAGCCTCCGAGCTTGATAACAAAAGAAATATCAAATTAGCCTCTCCCAGCCTGGTCTACCGAGCGAGTTCCAGGACAGGCTCCAACACAATACAGAGAAACCCTGTCTCGGGAAGAAAAAAAAAAAAAAAAAAAGCCTCTCCTCTAAGGAAACCAAGGCTCCACGCTCCGGGCGGGTGGAAGGTGGCAGCAGTTAAATGCACCGTGAAGGCCATGCCCTCAGACTGTCCACCCAATCCTCCCCAGAGACCCAGATTAGACCAAGCTGCTGGGAATTTACACTCTACTGCAAAACTGCATTATTGACTTAGTCTGCCTCCCTAGTTAAACCCCATTCGAGTGGCCTGGCTAGGGAAGGGGTGGGGTGGAAAGTCCTAGAAGTTGTCTGTCTCTCTTCTCCCAGCGTCCTCTAGATAACTTCTGGTACACAAGGAAGAAACTCCAAACTAGTCTTAACAGCTGCTCGGGTGAAGTTAGATTCTAGACTGTCTCCAGCCTTGGACACCTTAAGGGCATGGGGGGGACCTGGGGAGACTCGACCACGCTCTGAGCCGCATCTGCGGAGGGGGAGGGGCTGGGCATTAGGAAACAGAGAAAGTGTGACAGTGGGTGACCAGAGTCAGATGAAGGGAGACTCCACAATCTCCAGGTGTGTGGCAGGGTGGCGGCGTCCAGGTGGCGCAGATGAGCAGGTGGGCAGCTGGCGTAAATGGCGCAAGTGGACAGGTGGCGCGGGAGGGCAGGAGGACAGGGGGCGCAGATGGCGAAGATGGGCAGGTGACGCAGGAGGGTAGGTGGATAGGAGCGCAGGGGGGCAGGTAAGCAGGGGGCGCAATGGAGCAGGCGGACCGGTGCAGGAGGGCAGATGGGCAGGGGGCGCAAATGGCGCAGGTGGAGGGGTAACGCAGGTAGCGCAGGAGGGCAGGTGGACGAGCGGCACAGATGGCAGAAGTCCCCGCGCCGCCGCTCACCTTTGCGCCGCAGGTACTGCATCTGGAGCCGCAGGCTCGACCGCTCCCGCAGCTCCTGCAGCACCCGGGAGTCGCCCACGCCGCGGCCGCCCAGGAACACGTCGGAACCGGAGGTCTCCGTGGAACTATCCAAGCTGTCGCTGCGCGGGGGGCGGCCCCGGGATGCACGGTCCCCGCCGGCTGCCACCTCCTCCTCTTCGGTGCAGCTGTAGAGCTCGGTGAGAAGCCCGCTCACCAGAGACGCCGTGCGGCTCGTGCGGCCGTGGGGCTGCGGTTCCTCGTCGCCCTCCGCCGCCGGGTGCCCCGCCGCCTCCTCGGCTTGCAGCGGGTCCCGCGTCCCGCCCGCGGGAAGGACCTCCATGGCTCGCACCGCCGCGACGCCCGCCAGTTCCGGGAGGGCGCGGCCACGCGGACCGCAGAGTGACCGGCAGGGGTCTAAATGCCAACCAATGGGCGGAGGCCGGAGTTCCGGCTTCAAATCCGCGGGCGCAGCGCCCAGGTTCTCCCGCCTGCCTTCCCACCTGACCCGAGCGTCCGGAGGCTGCACAAAAACCTTCCTAAAACTCTGACCATCTGGCTTGATGTTCTAGAATTTTAACGGCCTTGAGAATCTTTTCCCTCCATTACAAGACCTGGATTAAGATTCCATGACACAAAATAAAGGTTTAATAAACCTTCCTGCCTTGACCAAATTAATAAAACTTGCCAGAGCTGTTTGTGATGATAAAATCAAGTTTATGAGAGATTTATCTTTTTTCTTTTAAAAAAAAGTTATTGTGGAAGTCAGAGGACTTTGTGCAGTTGGTTCTCTCCTTCCAACTCTAAGCAGCTTCCGGGGCTCAGACTCGGCTTGCCAGGCTTGTTTGACAAGGGCTTTTTTGCCTCTTGAACCACCTCACCAGCCACAGAGATTTATCCTTATGCTAGACTTCAGGAGAGTTTTGATACCATCACCATAGATAACTTTGTGCATTCAATCAGGTTGACTGACTCTAACCCTGTGGCGTCCTGGCTTTTCCTCTGGAGCAAAGAGGTTAGCTGGACGGCTTGCCATAAAGTTAACTTGGACACACACGTACGCATGCACACAGGCGCACACCGAGGAATAAGTAACTTGAACTTTTATTAGCGTCTGCCTCTTGCTAGGCATAAATACTCCTCTGTCTAATGCTGTAACTGCCTGACATCTAAGGAGACATCGGGACTTTTAGCTAACAGTGGCAGGCTTCCTGTTCATTCACGCTTCTAACACTTGGGCACAGCCTGACCCAGTGAAGACAAACCTATTGTCCTTGACCACTACCACTGAAATCATTGGAAATTGGAGCAAACATGAGTTATAAAAGCACACGTTTTATAACGTCGTATGCCCTTAAGCATAAGAATTTATAACACATGCTGAAGGAGCTAAGAGATGGCTCAGCAGGTAAGAACACTGGTTGCTCTTTCAGAGAACAGGGGTTCAGTTCCCAGCACCCACAAGGGAGCTCACACACACACACACAATTCCTTGAAACTCCACGTCCAGGGGATCTGATTGTCCTCTTTGGATCTCCACCCACTCTGCGTGTGGTGCACAGGATACACAGTTAGGCACACACCCATAAAATAAAACTTCTAAGGGCAGTTTTTTTTGTCAGTTTTGTTCATCAAAATACACCCATCACCCTACATCAGCCCCTGATATAGTATAGGTAATTAATGCTTTCTGAATTAATTAGCTGAATGAAAATAAAAACTGGGGGAAGTACCAACCAATTATCTGCTTTCCTAAGAAAAGTTAGTTCTATTCAATAGAAACCTGGAAGTAATGTTGCCAGATGTGGTGATTTGGATGAGAATGCCCCCATCTGCTCTTATAGTTGAATGTTTAGCCCCCAGTTGAGGGAACAGTTTGGAAAGGACTAGGAGGTGTGACCTTGTTGGAGAAGATGTGCCACTGTGGGTGGGGTTTGATGTTTCAAAAACCCATACCATTCCCGGTTAGTCTCTGCACTTCATAGTACTTCATAGTTCTTCACAGCTGTCTCTACATATAAGCTCTCATCTCCAGCTCCACGCCTGCTGCTGTGTTCCCCGCCATGATAGCCATGGACTGCAACAGAAAGTGACAGATGTGTCCCCTCCTCCCTCCACTGGGAGGCCCAGAAATTGCCCGAAACTCTAAAGCTGCTTAGCCGGATGTCAGAGAATCGGCGTATCCGGGCAAATGGCTAGACAGATCAAGTGCTTGCTGTACACGAATTTAGGACTTGAGTTTAAATCCCTGGTGGTGGTTCTTGTCAATCACAGCGTTAGGAGACAAAGGCTGGAGGATCCTACGTTTAGCTAATAAGAAGCTAATAAGTCAGCTACGTTTAGCCAATAAGAAGGATCGAGATTCAGTGTGGGACCCTGTCTCAAAAACTAAGGTGGAGGGTTGGAGAGATGGCTCAACAGTTAAGAGCACTGGCTTGCTCTTCAAGAGGTCCTGAGTTCAATTTCAAGCAACCACATGGTGGCTCACAGCCATCCACAACTAGATCTGGTGCCCTCTTCTGACCTGCAGGAATGCAGGCAGAGTATTGTATACATAATAAATAAGTAAATATTTAAAAAAACAAACACCGATTCTCTAAAAGAAATAAACAAGATGGAGAACAAGGGAGGAAGATATCTCAATCAACCTGTCTTCTACAGATACACACGTGTACACACACACATGTGCTGCACACATGCAGACATACACACATAATAAAGCCAACACACCCAACAAAGCCTGATTATCAAACTGACTGCCCTTAAGGCTAATAGCTAAAATTAAATTTACTAAATTAATCATGCTGTTAATAATAATAACTTTTTACATTTAGAAATTTACCTTTAATATTAAAATAATTGAGCTAAGACGTTTATCTCAGATATAACAGGGATCCAAGGCCCAATACTGAATTATAGTTATTGAAGTATTTACTTCTTGGTTTAATTTGCTAGAATGAAATTTATTAAAAAATCTTGTGTACAAGCTATACATGGTGACCGTTTAAATTGTCCCCGAACTCTATCAAGACCTTACTAATGTCCTTTGGATATCCATCTTGCTGGTTGCACACAAGTTTAACACAAGTTGAAGTCACCTGGGAAGAGGAAAGTCCAGTTGAGGAATTGCCTCCATCCCGGGCATGTCTGTAGAGTATCTCCTTGATTGCTAATTGGTGAAAAAGGGCCCAGCCCACTGTGGGTGGTGCCATTCCTAGGCAGGTTGACCCGGGTTGTTAAACAAAAATAACTGAGCAAGTCAGAGGGTTGGAACTAGTAAGCAGAATCCTTCTGTGGTCTCTCCTTCCTTCCTGGCCTCCAGGGTCCTGCTTTGCACCCCTGCCCTGGGTTTTCTTGTTGATAGACTACAGTGTGTAAGATGAAATAGCCCTTTCCTCCCAGGTTTCTTCTGGCCAGTGTTTATCACAGCATTGTAAGAGCTAACTAGCACCGTCATCATTTACAATTACCTAAGCATGGCCCTCAAGATTTTGCTATTTTTTTAGCAAGTGCAGATACACACATGAGGAACGAGTTGGATGATGAGAGCTATGATTGTGTTTGGAGTTGGGGCTGTGAGTTTTCATTGTTGTCCTTCAAGAACTCCTCCTCGGTCACGACGGAAGACGAACAACGCTGCTAACTGCAGTTTGTCTTTGTGGGAACTCAATTTTTCCCTTTAATTTTGCTGATTAAAAATTAGTCATGAAGCCAGGTGTTGGTGGCGCACGCCTTTAACCCCAGCACTGGGGAGGCAGAGGCAGGCAGATCTCTGTGAGTTCGAGGCCAGCCTGGTCTACAGAGTGAGTTCCAGGACAGACTCCAAAACAATACAGAGAAACTCTGTATCGAAAAAAACAAAAAAAATAATCATGAGCTCAGAACACCATATAGTCTGTGTTTTCAATTCAGTTACTATGCATGAGGAAGGTTCTTATTTCTCAGTCTAAAAAGATGGAATGGGTGGTGACAAGGGTGTTTTAGTGCTTCTGAAAGCCATCAAATCTTACACAGACTTCAAGAAATACAAGACAGGCAGAACCGGAGCTTCACCCAGAGCCTCACACACACTAAGACCAGAGGAGGCCATAGTAAAGTCCAGAGAATTGTGGGGAGGACTCAACTCACAACCTCTCCTCACCACACTCCAAAGCCCCAAGAACCCAGGGGGAGAGGCCAACAGTTCCCACCCATTCCTCTCACACACAGCAGCACATGGCACCTTCTGAAGCCAGAGAGATCTGAGAACACCATCCTTCAACTCAACAGAGCCACGCCAGCACGTCATTCTGTAGATCTGGATCTGGACCACTCTCTACCCTGGCCAGGGAAGCTTCTCTCTGCAGCAGGCAGTATAATGTGGAGACTCATGAGTGGACAAAGTGCTGAGAGGGAGGGGCCAAAAGTCCTCAGGTCTAAGTAGGGCATCTGTGTCACACCACACACACACTCACACACACTCTCACACTCACATACACTCACACACATGCACACAACTCTCACACTCACACACACTCTCACACTCACATACACTCACACACATGCACACAACTCTCACACTCACACACACACTCTCACACTCACATACACTCACACACATGCACACAATTCTCACACTCACACACACACTCTCACACTCACATACACTCACACACATGCACACAACTCTCACACTCACTCTCACACTCACATACACTCACACACATGCACACAACTCTCACAATCACACACTCTCACACTCACACACATGCACACAACTCTCACACTCACACACACTCACACACACTCTCACACTCACACACATGCACACAACTCTCACACTCACACACACTCTCACACTCACATACACTCACACACATGCACAAAACTCTCACACTCACACACACTCTCACACTCACATACACTCACACACATGCACACAACTCTCACAATCACACACTCTCACACTCACACACATGCACACAACTCTCACACTCACACACACTCTCACACTCACATACACTCGCACACATGCACACAACTCTCACACTCACACACACTCTCACACTCACACACATGCACACAACTCTCACACTCACACACACTCTCACACTCACCACATGCACACAACTCTCACACTCACACACACTCTCACACTCACACACACTCACACACATGCACACAACTCTCACACTCACACACACTCTCACACTCACATACACTCACACACATGCACACAACTCTCACAATCACACACTCTCACACTCACACACATGCACACAACTCTCACACTCACACACACTCTCACACTCACATACACTCGCACACATGCACACAACTCTCACAATCACACACTCTCTCACACTCATACACACTCACACACATGCACAC